CATTTATAAAAGGGTGATTTTTATTTTGACAAATCAATTCCACATTTATGGGTGAAGTTTCAGGATCTTTTATTTGTGTATAATAAGGAAAAATTGGCATCTAAATTTCCCCATAACGTAATAGCACACAGCTTGGCATATGAAATATCCTACAAATGAAACAAACCCGGTTTCTAATACAAGGATTTATATTGGCTGTTGTACATGTATTCTTTGAACGCAATCACTCTTCGGATAACGTTTTCAAAATCATTATAAACGGATTACTTTATCTCAAAGACAATTTCAATAAACTGGATTTTACAGAACTCCCCTTATTTCTTAAAAATGGACTGATCCAGTTGATTCGCCTGGAGCCGCCATATTGTTTTTATACGGGATGCTAATCGGAACCCTTTAAAGCCGAACAGAACAAAATGTATGACAGTTCTGTCAAACTCCAAGCTAGCAACGTCAAAATCACTATCTAAACTTGATACTAATCTAGTATGATATCAACTCATATTGGAAACTTCTTGTTTTTAAGCCAATACCCCGTTTCTGTTTCAAATGAATCCACAATGGGATTGTGAACTTACCTTGATGACGTCATCAAAAAGTGTATACAATCCCTCCGGCATTGTTTTACATGGAGAGGTCAAAGCCTCATTCTGAACATAGGGCACATGACATATAAATGGAGAATCAAAACTAAATTTGAGAAATCAGAACATCTTTCTTCTGTTAAAGTAGCAATCCAATGCAGGTTCACGTTAACGGCAATTCAGATTACTAATCCACATGACTTCATGACATAATATTGTAAAAGAAACACAATCAAGGAGTTGTCAATATCATCATGATGTACGATAGTGACTGATGTATTGTTCAACTTGACATATGGATATGTGGATGAAAATCACAATTGACAATAGTTCAAATGATCGAATATCTAAAATCAATGGCTAAAAGCTGGAATATGTAAGCTTAATATTAGAAAAGTCGGAAAACACGGCATTGTATATTAGTGAAAGAAAGATTACATTGAATTCGGTTTTTACTGATTTACTTGGGTCAGTCAAAAAGTTCTGTTTATTTATCTCTAACTTTGTCATTTTGAGGAATTATTTCTTGATATTTGGTACACCTATAAAACATACATTTGTGCAAATTTTGACTAGATATTGTATCTCAACTATCATTGGTTACTGAATAATGGTTGCTATGGTAACAGAAGGGCGATGTACTCGGTTCAACCCTATTTTATTGATTTTCATACACTGTTATATTAAATGAAATATACTTTAAATTGTCTCAATATTTAAAAACTCCTTTCTAATTAAGTCCCTGATGTCATAGCTAAGTTTGATTGAGTTATTTAGCCTTCAAAATAGTCGCAATTCATTTAAACGTCTGCGCACTGCTGCCCGCAGAGCCTCATGGGAATCCAACCAGATCCCCCAAAGACCCCTCTTTAGATTGCTGAAGAGGTAAAAGTCACATGGAGATGTGTCTGGGGAGTATGGTGCTTGTGAAATCCTGCTCCATTGGAGGTCTTCTAAGGCAGTCTTGGCAACATTACTTGTATGGGGACGAGCATTGTCCATATGGAAGTGTAGCTTAAACCCTTGCCGTCTCTTCTGACGTATGGCCCTTCTTGAGTGAGAAATCTTGGAACCCATTTTGAGGCTACGTAACGCTTTTTCAATACTTTAGTGATGATCGTATGACATGAGCCATGAGAAATATTCAGAATGGAACTAATCTCATCCAGTCAAATGTGCTCAATCAACTCTTGTATTTTCTCAGCATTGTCCTCTTTCACAGAACTCTTGGGCCGGCCAGTCCGTGCTGAATCAGACAGTTTATCCCTTTTCCATCCAAGAAGTCATAGTACCATCAAGGGACAGTATTATATCTTGGAGCATTCTGTCCAAAAGCACCTTTAACAAGTGAATAATTGTCTCGTGTAGTGTTTTCCTGTTTTCTACCATACACTGTATCAAGTTTCTTTGCTTCAACTTTAGCAACTTGCTAGGAGAATCAATATTTGACATTATTTTTTCTCAAAATCCCCTTTTCACTTTTTCATCTTTTCATCCTGAAAATCATCTATGTCAGCTGAAAATTGTCACAATTGAATATTTCCTTGACTGTGATGTCTTCAAGACAATAAAATTGGCATCAAAACCTGTCAATTTGCACAATTTGATATTTTAACATGAAAAACTGTTCAATGAATTGATGCCAAATGAAATTAATGTGAAATTAAAAATATGACGTTTTTTAGCTGAACCGTGTACCCCGCAATTCTGTTACCATAGTAACCATAATTCAATAACCAATCATAGTTGAGATACAATATTTCGCCAATAGTTGCACAAATATATGTTCTATAGATGTACCAAATATCAAGAAGTAAATCCTCATAATGACAAAGTTAGAAATAAATAAACAGAACTTTTTGACTGACCCAAGTATGTTTGTATGAATTTGCCATTCACTTTTGCGAAGTCAATACTTAAAAAGACTACGCAAATGTGAATAAGTGGGGCAAGTATTGATTTTCATGAAATAATAAATTGAAATAAATAAGTATTACTATCGTTCATGTTCAAGGTTTCAATTTTATGTCAACATAAAATTTAATTTTTGCAAAATGTTGAAGAAGACATTGCCTTGCCTGCCTCACCGTGCCTAGTACGCCCATCATAATGCAAAAACAAACGTACTCAGCTGGAATACGTTTACCTACATCAGATGACCAAATAACTAAAAGTCAACAAAACATAGAAATCAAGATTCGAATTTGTTTATATTTCTTGTTACGTCTTCAAAGTACAGTAAATACCGGGTAGTTCGTAATGACGTAAACGCCCAGGATTGTCATCGTATCTGCACCAGTGAGGTTATCGAGCTGGTGGGGGTGGTGGTGGTGGTGGAGCAATTGGGTCGTCGAATTGGCGTACGAAGTTTTCACACATCGTATGCCATACTTCCACTTCCCCCTGGCTGTTGCATCTCACACCTTCACAATCGCCTTTAGAGATATCAGTATTCAATGCATAGTTAACACCTTCGTAAAGACAGCCTGTTGGAGCGGTCAACACCCCTAATGAAAAAATGCAATGTGTTATAAATATGCCTGTCTGGATTCCAAACAAAAGAGCAATGTATATTTACATCCGAGGGATCGGAGCGAATACAATAAAATCAATCGGAACCTTCGAAACAATAAAATGAACATTTATTTCTTTAAGGCGGTAAACACAAATGGTAAAACTCTGAAAAACTCGTCCGCTACAAAGCCAACCAAACATAAACACAAACAACCTCGCTTAACTCGAACAGAGTAGCTCATCATTATGCATTCTCTCTTTATCACTTCACTACGCGCATATATAAAACATTTATGTTTTAAATCGCTTCCCTAAAGAATATTTGATTAAAATATATCTTGCCGAAATGTGCGTTGACCAACAGCAAATAATAAGTTCCATGTGTTAACTAATTAACTTATTTTGTACAAATGACCGATGGGTTTTAAACATCTAACATGTGTTGCGTTGTTTAAGAATTATATATATAATTACCTTCATCTGATTGACATTCTTGTATCGCCGATAGTTAAATTTAAAATATTATATTTCATGCATTGTGGTATTCTTTACCTATAAAACTATGCGTGACTTACCAATTCCAGCGAACGCTACAAGGAGGCAGAAGAATACGCTTATGTTCATCATTTCTGGTAGATCGGTATGTGTCCCACAAGATGTAGAATCTTTTAACATTTAGCAATTGTAATTCTAGATATTTATACATGTTGATGCCTAATCATATTCAATTGTTAATTTCTTATCATATTTAAACAAAACTTTTGTTGCAACACGTGCTGCATAAGTTTTGCGAACGTGGTGTCAAATTTTGATGAAATTCACATTTTTGTTTACATTGTAATTAACACAAGAAAGGAATTACCTCGATATTCTTAACACTTAACAAATATTGCTTAATGATGTGAAAAGATATAATTATATATTGTATTAATAGCCAGGTGACATTTCAAATTACAACACGTAGACTACTTTTATCCATGCATTCAGGAAAGTACTTTCAATTTGCATTTCGTGCTATTTATACTTCCCGGTTAAACAATTGCAAGCTGGCACCTGATGTGTGACACATTATTGAACTCTAAAGTGCAATTTGTTAATAGTTCTTAGAATTTATACATTACATTACAGTAAAATATCCGAATATTGTAATTGATACTTAACTTTTATTTAGATGTCATATAGAAAGACAATACCAAGACAACACATGTCTAACATATTCAGGTGCTGTTCGATTTCATTAACGTTTAAGTGATGGTCAACCTTTGCAAGAGCATCCTTATCGTATAATGGGCGATAAGATCTACTTCATCGTATATATATAGGAATACTCAAGACATCTTTAGTTACAGCTGTTATAACAGCAGTGATTCGAATTCTGAGTAGTGGTTCACGCATCTGATAAGACAAGTACACAATCCATATCTCCTTAACAAAAGAGTATGGCAAATCTTGTTTAGCATGATTAAACTTGGCAATGTTCTTTAAGTTAACAAAGCTTCATCATTGTTGTGCATGACCCATTTGCTGGCCATCTAATTATAACTTGCCATTGTTGAAAACCCGTGTGCATTCATTAATAGATATGGCTCTTATCCTGAAAGATAATTTGTATGTCAACAATCCTAAAACCATTGCAAAGCTCAAACAAGAGATAACACGGAAGATTAGGATGTTTGCAAGTCTGTCAGCAGAGATGTAGAAGCGTAGCCATTTAGAGCACATTCTTTATATGGACAGCATTTGGGTCAAACACATGTAGACTAATGCTACATCTATGAAACTTACTCAACTCAAACAACTTCAATCAACTTATGCCAAGTAAGATTTGTCAAGCTCCATTGGTTAAAAAGATTGCTAGGTAAGTGGATTACTTTTTTATGAAACGTCCTAAGTTTTCCTAAGAAAAAATGTATTCATATCAAATGTCACTAAAATTAGATTTGAGATCGGGTATAATTATTTAAATATAAACCCCTCTCTCCACCTCCTTCCTTCTCAGTCGACTAGAACGAGTACTTTCCGTAGTAGTCTACTTTGATAGGATCATCCAGCATGTTAACAAAGTTAGGATCCCATTCAGTGACCAGCTTTTCAAGCTTTGGAGGCTTGTCAAGAGTATTTTTAAAATGCAAGCCGGGACTTTTCCGATTCTGCGCAAACATGTACCGGTCTAGTATATTTGGGAATACACAGTATAGATGGTGGATGTGTGTGAAGTATATATGCCACATTGTCCACATCGTGTCTGATTTGTTCAGTGATTGTGCTTGTTTGTACCAGTCAGTGTGTCGTATACCATCAACGTAAGGCTGAAATGATTTATCACGTGACGTAATCTCGTACCATTCGAGAAATTCTCTCCAGGAATCACGATGAGGTGAGAAGCCCCAAGACCCTAGGATCGGATACATATACACTGTATAGTTTGAGGACACTCTAATGTGTTCCTTTTTGGCAGCCGTTGCAAGATAATCGACGTTAGCCAATGAGTACCCACTGACGTATGTCCTTTCATCATATTTCGCATGTGCTGCGTATAACCACTTATAAAAGTGTTTACTGACTGCTATATCATCCTCGAGAATGAGGGCGATCTCTTTTGCATCAGGCGTTGGTGTCCATGCAGTAAACCACTGGCCGTAAAGACCAACATGTCGGGGATGGACATGGACCGATTTCTCAATCGTTGAAAATGTAAATTTTGTAGCAACGTCATACGTTTTCTTGTCTATCGAGCCGACAGGAGATAAATCTATGTGGATTTCGACATGCACTCGATGACCCATATAATCAGCATCATTCAGAGATTGAAGGCAACATTGGAGAGGCGATGGACGGTTGTAGGCCAACACAATCACCCGCAATTGAACGTGTTCTTTGGTTTGATGATTATTTAGTTCAGTTATTTTCGCCTGTGTTCCTCCGTTTGTGTCATTGACGCCATTTGATTTTTGAATTTCATAACTCTTACTTTTTGTAAAAATTCCTCTGTCATATATCATCTTATCAACCTCTCCGTCTCTTGGCGTAATCTTTGCATTAATATTTTCTTCTTCTTCGATACTTGTATCCTTATCACTAGCTGTGGAACTCTTGGGAATTTCACCTTGACTACCCTCATATAGGTTTAGTTTGTCAATCGTCCTATTCCTTATTATAAAAATCGGCGATAACATTATAATTAAAGCAATGGATATAAACCATATCACTATTAACCATACTAATCGTATCCCGATGTAGCGCTTCAAATTACCACACCTGAAGCGAATACAATCTTTCAACATATTTATTCATTCAAAAGGACATCTTTGTTATCATCTGGTGTCGTCTTACTATGTACAACACTATTTCAAGGTAAATAGCTATGAACCCGTTGGCCTGAGAGCATCAGTTGCTGTTATATCTCAACAATACAGTACATCTTATACCAACAATACATCATTTCATTACGAGCAACTAATGTCAGGGCCTTAGCCTTCGGGTATATTTATGAAAGTCCTACACATTAAATTAAGTAGTAAGTAAAGAACATTAATGATTATATGCATGCCTATACATTGTAACGTAAGAACTGGTACAGATTGATCACATTTGATCTTTTAAAATACATGATTTAGCACAAATATATAACTTGGATATTGGGTGGGTAAATAACAGTTATAAATATGGTATTGACATGTGATGGGTAATTAACAGTTTTAAAGATGGTATTGACATGTGAAACAATTTGCTTGCGTTATATTTAACCATCTATTTTGTCCCATTTCGTTAAAAGTATTATTTTTACCATTTTTTATAAAAACGCGTATCTTAAACTCCGTATTATATCTTGCAGAATACGGAAGAGCAACTCTGCCATCTTTTATTTCAATAGTTCGAGGAAGCACTGTTATAACACAAACATGTTTCTATACAGGGTGTCCGGAAAGTAAAGATACAAATGCTCTCATTTTGAGAGATGTACCTGTTATGAAATGAAATTGCTCCAGAATGTAGAATGATATTATAGCAATATATCCTGCAATGGTCATGACTTTTAGTTTTAAAATAAAAAAGTTATGGTCGTTATGGTAACGGGAGTCGAGGGTATGTGGAGCAACGTCACAAATGTGTTTTTATAAATCTCTTTCCTGCTCATAACATCTTGGCATTCTACCATCTATTCCCATATTACATCAAATAATGTACTACAACAGTATAAGTATTAATACTGTAACATTATTTGATCTCTTTATATAACTACTTACTATCATTGAATATTTAATATTTTCCCCATTATCTAAACATTTTTGGTGCATCTTGACCGGCGATTCAAAGACTTGACAAAATCATCGCTGTCCGTCTCTCAAATTGCTGATAACATTGACTTCCAGCTGAGACTCATTTTGTATGTTGAACTTCTTAAAAATATTGCTTTCAGATGGTTATTAGGTGGAAGTCAAGAAATGCCCTATCAAGTGAATATGGGGCATTGTATAGAAAGGTTTAATGTCAAGACAATCCATTGTAAGAATTGTTGTTTTGCTTTAATTTGTGAATCAGTGTATTATGGAATTGCAATATTGACTTTCCAACTAATCCAGAGAATGTTTTTTCTAAGCACTTTTATGATATTTCTTTGATTATACTGGTTAGTGACATAAAATAGTTCTGATATGGAACGATGACATCATTAAATAAAAGACAAAACTATGGCAGTAATAATCCAAACAACAAACAAAGCAAAACATTGATAGAAAATACAACAAAAATCACTGTTTCAGATGGTTGTATTTTAGCAATTTTTGATGTTTTAGTGATGTTCTGGAACTGCTCCACATACCTCTCACAGCCGTAACCATAACAACCGTAACTTGAACACGTTAAGACTATATGTGATGAAAGTTGGTAGATATATTGTAATTATCTTTCTCTACAATCCGTAGCAGTTTCATTTCAAAAGACCTAAATCTCTTAAAATAGGAGCATTTGTATCTTTACTTTCCGGACACCCTATAACTACCTGTCTGGGTTACAAGAAATGGTGCGTGGTGCAAGAGAACATAGTAATAGAGAACATGATTAGTGCAGGCCCATTTCCAAATATTTGGAAACACCGACTCCCATCCAATAACTGGACAATGCCTCTTCTTGTACAGGCTTGGAAAATGACATTGATGTTTTTTATTTGCCAAACTTAAACAGGCTTTTACGTGTTAACACGTGGTTATATAGTTGGGGTCGCCAAGCTTTCGCAAAAGAGTAAATACTCAATAGGGTGAAATTATGATGAAAGGGGATACTTAAAATGGATAAAGTAGATGGTAAAATGTAATGTCACATTTAACATGTACAAAGTAGATTGTAAATCATATAGTAAAAGATAAATTGTATAAATAAACTTCCCTAAACGATTAAAAAATCCTGCCATCTCTTTTTAATTAAAGACAATACGATATTATTTGAATGAACCTTTCCAATAAGATGTGCTGATGTCATCATTTATTGCACGCAGCTCTACGTTCATCAGGATGGTGTTCTTATAAGTTGTCGTCTATACGTAATAAGCTCTGTAATCATCCACTACGTAACTGTTTACCTAATAATGCGTTGTGTTTCTTATCACCCGTATACTTGCTAGCTATGTGGCTGTGGAACCATTGTGGGGCGGCACACATAGTATACTATCCAATGCTGCGGGATAAGCCTGCAGAAAAAATTCTTTCAAACTGAAAACTGAAGGAAAAATTGAATCAATTACAAATTTCTTTATTTTATTTATTCATATTTACTACAAGTTACAATGAATCGGTGACATATGATGTGTATATTCCCATGTTACCTAATAAGATCAATTACTCAGATGCGAGTAGGTAGCTACCAGTTTCGCCACCAGGTGGCTGATTCGGGGGAAATAACATGGCAGGGTATTACAAAAGTGGTTCACTTTTTATATTACCCTCATGTATGTGATAGTTATACAAATTAAAATATTTCCAGTAAAAGAAAATATTATCTGTCCAACACAAGAAAAGATATTTCACTTTTTGTGGTTTTTCAACATTGGGTCTATGGGGAATCTCCCCGACATAGAAGTCACATTTTCAAAGAAAATTAAATTTTCAAATTTGATAAACTCTTTTCAAAACCACATTTCTAGATGTAATTTTACATGTATATGATACTAGTTTGACTGAATTGTGAATTTTTAATGACGTAAATCAAGATTATTTCTACTCGCATCTAGGATATTGACCTCGAGCACCATTTGGAAGGCCTAACCTGGCCTAACCAAAATAAGCTACACAATCATAAGTTGAAAGATTGGATCACTCATGAATTTCACGAATCTATAAATAAATTTTCAAATATTTTTGAATTCTTCTATATCAATATTACATTAGCATCTTACAACGTCCAAATAAATCCATGGTTTTATAAAATATGTCATAAAAATGTCTTGGAAAAATCAATCAATGATCGGAATTATAAATGAGAATTGTCCCTCAATGTTACTTTCCTTGATGCATATCTTGTTTAAGTATAAAGCTTCACTATAAAATATTGAATATTATAAATGTGTACAAGAAATGTGGAATATTGATATACAAGTTATATGCGTACTATGGCATACATGGTATGCTGTGTATTTTTCATTGTTGAATGTTGTCTGACAATCCCATAAAAAATGAATATTGATACAGTTATAGCTTATCTGAATGTATGCATACATCACAGTACAGCGGCATTAAGCACAATAATGCATTCATCAGGACAAGTGTTCCAACCTATAAATCAGCGGCTAGATGAAAGGAACTGATATTTAATAGCCTATTCCTCAGGCGATCATTACAACCATTATACATTATAAACATGGATTATGTTGAATGGACTAGATTATATATCCGCAATATGTAATGTGCAATAGTGGAACCGTTATTTGCACAGATGCATGAATGCTAGCTTATGCCAAGCCAACCTTTTGTCTCTGCCAGTTTATTAAACCATGAATTATGCCAATTTGTATTGAATATCATGCTTATTCCAGTTCAATCTCTCTTTCGAATGAATGAAACACTTCCTATTCCTTTTAAACTCGAGGTTCTGATGTTGAAATTATATCTAATGCAGCGCATAACTTCCTTTCCCCGCTCCTTTCTCCACGAGTTTAAATCTAAAACACGACCAAGATAAAATTGTGTCTATGATATATTTGATTTAGTTGAGGATAGTAATTGCGGATACCAAATGATACGAACGCTGCGACCCTGAGCTCAGAGGCTACGAGAACGAGTCATTAAAACTAAAGAAAATCAGTATCGTGTGTTTGACCAACGTTTTTGGAGTGGTGGTTTATCACGTTGATCACGCTTGGCCTCCCCTGCGTTTAATGAAATTTGAATCAACCGGAGCGATAAACTCATTAGTGCTGATCAACACTTATCTTTGTAAACCATGCTTATTGACACAGCTAATGAAAACGTATATTGTCAAGGTGGATAAAACTCGAGGAGGATTATCTTAAAAGTAACAAGATGTACTGTTACATAATGAATAAACTAATTTTTAAAGTTATTAAGGAAATTATTTTTGAGATATGGCTTACATATTTTTGTGGTTTAGTTTATTATCTAGTAGTATATCGGTGTTTTCATGCATGCTCGTCTTCACCGATTTCCGCCATTTGAACAATGTTACATGTCGGTACACGTCCTTTGCTAGTCATGCAGTGCATCTGACAGCGACTGATATATAACTTCAGTTGTAGACATATGAACCGTGTGTCAATACGTAAGAATATTATAAACTCAATATGTTTGACATGGATGAGCGGCTATCCTCACTGTATTGTATAACTCGTCTCTTCATCTCTTATCAGAACAAGCAAATACATAAAAGGCAGAGTTAATGTAGATCTTCATCTTTGCAAAGACCCTCCATATACTTTTTTTATATTTTTATTTGAGATATGTACTCTCATTGATTTAAAATGAAACACATCAACTGATTGGAACAGACTTGTTGATGAGATATCAACAATAACTTTGCTAATATTGAATTACTATCTTGAATATATGATACATACTGTAAGTTTTCTGTGAAACATCAAGATTAGCAACCATATTACAAGTTGTAGCTACGAATTACGATTTTTGGTTTGACTTTCTGACTGGTGAAGCCTTTGTCTGAAAGAGCATTTGATAATGATCACATGACATGACATAGACTATCAATTACTACCGTTGAACATATTCCAGTTCATTAGTGCATTGGTGTAACAGTCTCTTTGGTATCACGTTCTAGCTGGTCCAATCAATCATTACCTCAAACAAATGAATTTTTTATAACTATGTTAGCATGTTCCTCAATTTATTATCAAATGTATAAAATCACATTATTTATGAACCTCTCCTTATTGGAAAATTAAGCCTGGCACAGAAATGTGATTTTCCTCCATTTCCAAGTTCCATTTTGAGCCTTCCTAAAATACCGAGGTAGGAAAACATAAATTCTTTTCAACTACCAATTCTTGGTGAGCCATCACTTTAAAAAGTCTTTAAAATATCTTAAATCTGTCTTTAAAAATATTATTATGTTCATGAATTTGTTGTTTTATAGTTGCAGCATCAACAATGTGATTCCCCTTACACTGTTGTCCATGAATCAAAACCAGGATGTTACAACACTTCGTTTCGATAACAGCATGGCGTCATACTGGGGATGTCCTTTGGATTCCTTTCCTCAAGGCTAACCAAAATGTAAGTCTAAGTCCCATTATACTTTCGAGTTAGGAAACAAATATAGAAACATGTCTTGCATCTGAAAATCCTAGGTTTGTAAACAGAAAATAGCCTGTAATGAGAATCTGTTAAATAGAAAATAACATAACATAATGACATAATCCATCGCTTTTGATGCCCTAATGAATACCAGAATTATTAGTCATTCGCTTGTGATTTTGCCACTTGCTGATCCCAAATTGGAGTATCGAAAGCAAGACCTGTTTAAACATATGCACAATGTATAAAATAGTTTTAATTAATTTTGATTCATTTTACTCACGTTCACATCCGGGCATTTTGCCGTCTTGCTACAAAAACGAACCCTTTACATTACAACCCGAGCCAAATTTTCAACAGCTGTTTTTTCTTAGAATATAATTACATATACCACTTGGAGCCATTTGCCTACTGAAAACTCCTCACACTATGCAAATTGCATGACGAATATTCTCTGCCAAATACATTTTCGTATAAAGATTATCTTGATATTATACTATCGTACTTTCAAAGACCAATTTCAACACATTTTCAGATAAAAACACAAACCTGTCACCACTGCCTTGCATATGTTACAGTACTTACATGTACACCAGTGCATAAGTGCTCTATCTCCGCCAACGGATCATTCCTTTAGCAGTCTACATGGTGGTTTGTATTTGAGTCTGATCTACTGCGAGGAATAATACTTCACATCTTGGCAGCTGTAGTAAAGGTATGTACAACCAAAGCTTCCATGATGCCAACTTCTCATTTTGGTGACTCAACGTCAAACACTGATGTCCATACACAGTTCTTGGGTCATTAAATCAACAAGAATTGCGTTTGGACAATCACAGCCTGAGCGTTGTGAGAATGTTTGATGAGGATCCAACCTAGAACAAAAAAAATACAATTACAGATTATGATAGAACATTCGCAGTCATGATTATTGAAGACAACAAAGCCAATCTGAAAATATAAGATCCATTTAGTGGTTAGAACATCATTCAGCCTAAATGTTGGCAAAACTCCATCTTCAAGTTTGAATTGTTCTATGTCTCCAAATAGATAAAGAGAGGATGCACTAATGTGTTTCAGATGCAATATGCTTTACCATCTACTTTACAACTTAAACCACGAGGACGCCGATTGACCCAGATACTAGTGTTCCAATTGTGGTGCCACATAGCAGGTTGTAACATTTTTTACCATGAGATAACGCCATGACCTGACACGCCAGTGTAATATTCTTTAAAAAATCGCAATACAATTAATCTAACATCGATTTGACAAGGCTATCTATTTAAAATTATCTGATAAATAGGTGAAGTTTTAAAATCATCTTACCAGAACATGGCTTTCATCTTCCTGTAGTACAATATACTTCTTAGACTTAAAACTCTTCAAAAGTTCATTTCTCTGTCAAAATTTCCTTTTCAAATATTGAAGCAAACGTTCATACTTCACGATGAATATGAGAACTGAACTGTTTTTCTTTTTATAATCAATGACCTCGCACAATTAAAATGTCACTATAGGACTCATCAGAGATATACGTGTCTCACTGGTATATAGAGTCCCCTTTCAGACTCATCAGTGCATCAACTCCCTTTCATTGATCTTATAACATTCCTTAACGTGCATTAAATACCTATTCAAATGATTCGAAACATCCCTCAATGTGTTAAAGATATTTTCGACTTTGCTTTTTATCCCCAATCTTTATATTTCTGAAACTCTTATCCAGGAAATGATTCCCTCTTATTAAAACCGAAAGTATCCTTTCTACCTAATAATATTTCAAAATTCAAAGATAACACGACTATGTCGTAAGAATACAAATTTTAAGTCTATGTTTTCCTTTATGAGATAAAATGGTCTGTTCTTTACAGTTTGCACTGGTCCAACCGTAGGAATATTTATTTTCTTGCTTAAAATTATGAAAATAGTACACAATTAATAAATTCTGTCTAATCTGATTTTAAACCATATGCTAATTTGTTTGATTGGATTATGGCGTGTAATTGAAACTCAGAGAGGGGGACTTCGTTATGACTTTATATATCTTGGTTTTTACCCTTGATCTCTTTACCTGGGCATTTGTATATTAAATTCATGTTGTCACATATGAAATAATCATGTAGACAGAATTGGCATATGGTACGTCTAAAATGGCAATTAATCAATCAAACGTGCTTTAATAAACTCCATAAATAAAGGCAAGTCATCATCATATAAATCCTGCATCTGATGATCAGCATGTTAAACATTGTGAATTACCCAAATGCGAGTAGGTAGTTACTAGTTTCACCACCAGGTGGCTGATTCGGGTCAAATAACATGGCAGGTATATAAGAAATTAAAGTTCCCTTAAACTTGAATATTATCAATTTAAGTGGCTCAATTTTCATATAACCCTTATGTGTCTGATACTTATACTCATGAAAATATGTCCAGTATAGCAAAATATTATCTGTCCACTCAAAGAAAAGATATTTCATTTCTTGTGATTTTATAGCAAGGGGTCTATGGTGAATCTCCCCGAGCTAGAAGTCACATTTTCAAAGAAAATTAATTTTTCAAAGTTGATAAACACTTTTTAAAACCACATTACTAGATGTAATTTTACATGTAGATTTCAAATATGATATTACTTTGACTGAATTTTGAATTTTTAATGACGTAAATCAAGATTATTTCTACTCGCATCTGGGTTATTGTATTAGGCTTGTTATGAACTAAATGTTATGTTCTTGTCAACCAATTTTGTTATATCTAAATGAAATCATCAGTTCTTATTTTAATAAAAGGTAGAACGTTTTCATCCACAATGTAGTGGTGTGGTTCAGTTTACGAATAAATAGATAAACATTGAACAACAAATGGTAACTGAATATCAAATGGTCTAAGTAAGTGAATAGGTCCAATCTCTGTTAAATAACATGGTCAAAATATTAATAAGTTCATACACTGGAGTCAATTAATAATTTCCGGGATAATATATTTTAAGTAATCAGATTTGGGGTGATTTTGACTTCTATGTTTAACGTTAATCATGCATGTAGACATAGTTCGTGCTTAGAATAGCTTTCCGAAGGTCCATCACAGATCCTGCCATAAATACCCTCGTGGTGCCCAGACTTCTTAAGCAATTATTAAATCACCAGCTTTAAAAAGAAGCATCGCCTGTACTTCATATGCACAGATCGTTCAGGTAGACGCACATGTGCCTATTCAAATTTTGGAGATAATGGGCCCGAACATAAGATTTAAAGTCCAAACACTCAATCTTGACCACATCTTTGCAATATTAAGCATGATGACTCGAAGATTTCCATTGCATTAAAAACATCAAGTTCCTGACCCCAGGGAGATACGTATATCATTGAGATAAGGGAGCAAAGGTAAGAGACCAAGGTATAGATACTCAAGAGTATGGACTATCATGGAAAATCTTTTTTTGCATTTAAGATGTAACAAAACATTGCTTTAGGGTGATGTCGGCCAAATTGATTATTTGCTACCATAACTAAATGATTTTTGACATTAAACATTTCTTCGGGGATTTCCTTACTTGACATTTAAAGTAAGTGCTCTTCTCATCTAAAACAAACTACCATAGTGTGCACACATCACCTGGGACAGGGGACAGAGCGATCCGAGCGGCAAATGAGTTAACACACAAAAAGTGGTAATCCTCAATCAAATGGAGTGACCGAATCTTCAAATTACTTCACACAACAAATTGTCATTCCCACATGGGATGATCCAAGTTAAATCACTTATAAAGTGGTCATTTTCAATCAAATGGAGTGATCCAAGTTATGAATTTGTTCTCACAAACAACAAATGATCATCGCCAAATCAAACTGAATGATCCAAGCTACAAGTTACTTCACCCAAATGGCCATACCCAAACAAATTGACTAATCGGAAGTAAAAATAATTTGAAACAAAATAAATGGCTATACTCATTCCTATCAAATGGAATGAGGCATCCCCACTCAAATGGAATTATCCTTGCTAAATCAGTTCAAAAGTGGTCATCCAAAATTAAAGGGAATGATTCAAGTTACAAATTAGTTGACACACAACAAATGGCCATCCCTACTCTTATGCAATGATCCTTGAACAACATTATTTCACTCTATATGTGCCATTGTGAAATCAGAGTGCTATATAGGTGGAAAGAAATATTACAACTATTCCCAAGATTTAAGGCAGGACAAAATTATCTCAAAATGATATCTGACAAGAGGTTGTTCTATAGTTGTATTTCAAGTTTTAATTTTTACACCTAGTCTGAAATATCCCCAGCTCAGCATCCTACAATGTATGCCAGCCTGATGTAGAAGATGGATAAGTTTATAGTTTAACACTGCATAATTCACATTAGATTTAATGATGCATTTTATCACTTGCTGACGACATAGCACACGTATATCCACATTTCCACATTGAAATACAGTAAAATCTGTGTATATTTAACATTTTTGTTGACAAAAAAACGTTCAGTGTTTGGAGGTGTTCACTACAGAGAGGATAATTTATACAGAAGTCAATAGAGTATCTGCGGAGACATGACGTCCACCGGGGACAGGTGTTAACGGGGAGGTGTTCACTGAGACAGGTGTTCAATAGAGAGTGGTGTTCACTGAGACAGGTTTTATTGTAAAAGATGCAATATGTTCATGGAAATATCATAATATATCATGTCATATTTATCTAATATATCAACAATTTCACAACACACGATAGGCCAAGTGTGATAATTTTTTGCAAAATATATTTCCATTCAAAATTTACATTGTTGTAGTTTATTATTTAAGTGAACGTTTAAAGCATACAAACATTATATTAAACCATGCAAATATTATATATTATACGAGATAAAGGGTGGCACAAAAGCACGAACTTCTTATTTGTAATAATTTTCTCGATTATGGTTTTCTTGAATGTTGTCAACGCATGGGATAGTCTTGTCGTGAACACTCTATCCACATAAAAATCATTGCAATTGAGAAAGTTATCTTAAAATCAGAAGGCTGCATATTTTGTTATGGATTAATGAATTTAAGATCAGTTCATTCATTATCCACTTATTAGAAACAACATTTAATACTTTTTAATTATATTCAACGTGGAATGGATTTATGTCTCATACCTCAGCATAACATCAATCATGCCCAAGTAAATATTTCAAATGACATGTATATAGATTAAATTAAGCTTGCATATACAGCCTACAATTGCTCAATTACTTCCATAACTAAGACGTAGAAATTATATTATATTATATGTGAAATTTTGGGTTAAATGTTATATATAGCTGCACATAATGTGAATTCTTATCTAGCTAGTTGGTTGGTACAAACAATGTTAACGACAGTTGCTTGAACAATATTAATATTGAAGCTAATGATGTGTGACCTACTATGACTCACCTATATAGGCCTACAAGTGCATCGGGGATGCTTGCACATGTTGCTTTCCCGTCCACATTACCCCGACTCCATTGGTAAACGAGTTGGTTAGTCATGGCGGCACGTTGGTTTACTCCGTCCCTGTTGGCTGTCCTTAACGGGTTGGCTAGATATGGTGACATATTGACTTTTTGACTTTGCATCCCGGCTGGTTCCATTTTGGTAAACGTGTTGGTTAAGTATGAAGGCACACTGGAGGGTTCGTCCTTGTCTGCACCATGTAGCTAGTTCTGGTTGGATACTGAAGTTTATATTTTCGTCCATATTGGTTTCACCTTGTAAACGGATTGGTTATGGCGGCTCATTTTTTATTTCCGTTCATATTGGTATTCTTAAAGAGTTCGCTTGCACGCAGAGAGACGCAGCATTATTCGCTACATCTTAACAGTCGAATGCAGATAATCCCTCCACTATCTTTCGTCGTCTCAAAGCAAACCATAAGGTAACGGAGAATGGTGCATTCAAGGAGGAGCTGGTACTCTCTGCTTTTTGGAGATTTCTGCTTGGCCACCGCCTACCGATCTACGTCCGGGTCTCACTACCATATGGATTTGGCCACGTCCTCATGTAGAATCGCTAGACTGTGTAGTCTGTTACACGTAGTAATGAGCGCATCTAGCTCAGGGACGGTTCATACATTTAGAATGATGGAGGCCCGGGATGGAGGAAATTTTTGTCTGTGTAATGATTGCTTCCGTGGCGATGGCGT